ATAACTCAACTTCCAACTTGATTTACTTCTAAGATTTTTATAAATTTCACATTTATCTTCCTCTTACATAAATTTCATTTTCAACTCTAATATATATAGCTTAATAGGTGTTCGGAAAAAAGAAGTGATAAAGAGGAAAACAATAGTGAAATTTCGAAAATCTTCAAAGTAAATCAAGTTAAGATTGAAGTTTAATAACATTATAATGAATATATCAAACAAAACAACTAATTGTAGTGAGTTTGGGTACTTAAGCTTATATTCCCTTAAAGGTATATATATATATATATATATATATATATATATATATATATATATATATATATATATATATATATATATATATATATATATATATATATATGAACATAAACATAAGTATAAGAAAATAAATGAACACAAACAATCACAAATGAACATAAACCTCAAATGAAGAACAATAAAATTTGATCGTCAACAGTTAAGTGTTATCTGTTGATCATGTTGATCATACTTAGTGGCGTCATATTTTTATTTTTACCAAATTTTGTTGTATAACTTTGACATCATGTGGAAACCAAGTTGTTCCTGAGTTGTTATACAAACTTTCTTGCGATTCCTTTCCTTATTTCCTAGTATGTACACTGATATAACACATTGTAATCACAGATTTCTACATGAATTCACCAAGATTTATAGGTTACCTTTTTGTGGTTTAAACTTTTCGGTGCAAGTTGATAAAAGTAACAACAATGTTAGTTGATTGATTAGTGAATGACGTATGAAGCCTACATTTAGTATAGTTACATGTGCCTGATGATTTTGTTTTGGTCTATTATGTAACTATTAAGCCTTGAATTATGTATTTTGAGTTGTAAATTGTTTCCTGTATTTTGATGTTTTTAAACCTAAATTAATTTAATGATGATGCAGATATGTTTGATATGTAACCGCAGGGCTACACCCACCCACCCCACTCAACCATACCCTTTCTACCGTCTCTTCCTCTCTATCTCTCTTTGTGTACTTCTTCTTGTTTTTATTCTTCTCGACTTGTTTTTGTTTTTGTATTTTTGTAGAACCTTCAAAACATACACACACACACTAAAATGTATAACACATACCCTCAGACACATATTGGATACTTAAACACAAACCTCCTATCTTTATCCCAATCCTTGTGGTTACATTCCTATTTAGGTAGTAACTACCCTAACTCCCTAAGGGAGGAGGGAGTCCTTCCCTCCCAACCCACTGAACCCATTGTCATATTAACTTTTTTACTTTCTCTTTCTTCTATCTTTCTAAACTCACACCATATGGAAACCCTATATTTCTCAACCCACTCAACCCACTTTCCATATCATTCTTTTTTATTTTTTCATTTTTTTGCTAATTAAAAAAAAAATATTAAAAACAACATTTTATATTGTTTTTTATTTAATTAAGTTAGAAAATATAAGTTAAAACAAAACTTAACATTTTTTTTGCTAATTAAAAAAAAAATTCTAAAATAATATTTAAAATAACATTTAATTAAAAAACCACACTACAAATAAAAAAATACACGATAATTATAAAACACAATAATTAAAAAAAATACACTTAAAAAAAGACAACATAATTTAAATCCTAAAACAACAATTGAAATTAACTAGTTATTATCTAGAGTTGGAATGCAGACATGTTCAATGTGATCAATAAGATCAGATCAAAGTTGGTGGTGGGTTTCAGCATTGCACAATTCGTGTATTATTTCTTGGTCATCAACTTTGTCGGTAGGGGGATCAAGCTGATACATAAGAGATATCGCAGCACCCTCATCTTTCAATATCATATTGTGTAGTATAATACCAACATACATTATATTTTTTGTTTTCTTCACTGTCATAGCTTGTGCATGCATCTTTAATATGTCCCAACGTCCTTTAAGGACCCCAGAAGCACGTTCTACATTCTTTCTTGTTGATTCTTGTGCCGCCTTGAACCGCATCTTTTTGTCGGTAACTGGATATGGATATGCCTTCACAAAATATTCCATCCGCAAGATAGTAACCATGTTTGTAGTGTTCACCATTAAGATAAAATGAACAATCGGGTCCTGTTCCATGATATTTCTCATCGAACAATGATGATTGGTAGAGGACGTTCAAATCATTGTTAGACCCAGCTACACCATAAAATGCATGCCAAAACCATAAATCTTGTAACGTCACCGCTTCTAGTATCATTGATGGATACTGATGGTCACCCCTCATGTATTGGTCTCTCAATTCTGTTGGACAATTCCTCCAATTCCAATATGTGCAATCAATACTACCAAACATTCCATGGAATCAATGTCTAGCTTCATGTGCTTCATACAAAAGTTGAATGTCAGTGGATGTTGGGCGACATAAATATTCAGCCTTATACATTTGGACAACACCGTAGCAAAAGTTTTCAAGAGCTTCATGAGAAGTTCTTTCTGACATATTCTGATACTCATCTAACGAGTCTGGGTTATAACCCTTCGCTAATTGACGTATTGTTGATGTGCATTTTTGTAGCGCACTGAAACTTCTTTGATTTGTTGCATCCCATGTTGTTTGAAAATAAGGATAATTCATCTCCAGGTCACCAACAAGTCGCATAAACAAACCTTTGCACATACGAAATCTTCTGCGGAATTGCGTGTGACCATAGGTTGAATCATCTGCAAAATAATGTCGGATCAACAGTTGTTCAACCTCTAAACGATCTCTATGGATTGTGTTTCTCATTTGAATGTTGCTTGAACTAGCATTATTCTGCAGAATCAGCTGTGTAGTACGAGACAATACAGGTAACAAATTATTGTTGATAAGTTCATCCTTAGATGCGGAACTATCATCGTTAACTTCCATTACTGTTTTCCGAATGTTTGGATTCATTTTGTAACACCCAAAAATTTCAAACAATTTTTACATTTTCCAAAAACATACTTTCATTCAAAAATATTATAAAAATGTCATTGTATCATATAACAAACATAGAAACACAATCCCAAGATCATAATGCATAAAAACTCCTCGTGTGTGTACTGATCATGCCGACGCCTTCCCGCGATCCTCACTGGTACCTGAAACACATAACACAACACTGTAAGCATAAATGCTTAGCGAGTTCCCCAAAATACCAAATATAACACATATTAGCCACTTGAGGCTATAAATCTGTGGACCCTCTGGTCCTAACTCTGTAAACTCTAAAACATACATAGCATAAATCACATAGAAATAATGCAGTGTATCACATCATATAAATAACATGCAAAATACTCTGTTACATAACTCTAAGTATCACTCTAGGTAAAGTATAATGAGAAGACTCACTTTGGGTATCTCGGATAATCTCGCACTCGAACACACTGATCTAGCCCCCGCCTAATCACATAACAACACTCTCAAATAAATAATGGCTCACAAGGCTAGATTAAATCCACTCTATAATTCCACAGAAGGGTAAAAGACCATTTTACCCCTCCCTGACCCTAAAAGTCCAACGGTTGACCAAAACCCTAAAAGTCAACGGAAGTCAACAGAAGGCAGTCGGCGATGCATACCTTCTCTGTACGCGGGGCGTATGCCGGCGAGTCACAAACGGGGTCTCAACCCCTTACGTTGCGCGTATTGAGAGTTACGCCCAACGTAAGTCTCGGTTTCAGCCTTTCTTGGTTTTTGGTCTTAAACGGTTAAGACACTCACCCTAACTTCCAGATCTGACTCTTTCTAGACCTCTTATTCCATAAAGTTGGAACCTTTAAGCCTTTGCATGGCTGTAAAGGTCCTTATACCCTCTAACACTTTTCCTTCCTACTCAAAAGATCTAGATCTCATGCATGGCTCATTATCCACGTCCAAGATTGCATTTTTATGAACATACAACTCTTATAGTCCTGAAATATGATAGATCTGGGCCAATGGAGACCATTTGCTCATAAAGACTCCATCTTGGGACTAAAAACCCTAAAGATTGGTCCAAGAAGCACACCACACAAATAACAAGTCAAGCTTTGAGCTTTTTACCTCAGGGAGAAGCTCCAAACTCTGAAAAGCTCGGATCTACTCTTGCTCACGGCTCCTAGCCTCCAAAATGTCCTCTTCTTCTCTTCCACCACCTAGAAATAACACTTTGAAGCTTAGACCACCAACACACTAGCTAGAAACGAAGGAGGACTCTCTATTAGGGTTTCACTCTCTGAAATAGGGTTGAGACCAAGGCCATAACGTTTCTTTTATAGTGCACAAGCCCCAAATAAGGGTTTACACATGGGCCCACTACGCCCAACGTAGCCTTGGGTACGCCCAACGTACCCAGGCGAGTCCGCGTCCAAAATTAAGTGTGCGAGTACGCGCAGCATACCCTTCAGTACACCCAGCGTACTTACAAGCCCAATAATTCATTTAAGGCTTACTTTGACAACTTGGGAAAAAGGAGAAGGGTTTAAGTTAAATTCGGGATGTTACACATTTTGTTAAAAAAAGAAAAGATTGAGAGAAAATGAAAAAAACATACATATATAAATAATGAAACAAGCATAACTATATATATAAATAATGAAACAAGGATACATATAGAAAACCTTAATAAAAATAAAAATAAAAATAGAAATGAAAATAAAATAAAAATAAAATTAAAAAACATAATAATAAAGAGAAAGATTCTCCAGTCATATGATGTCGACATTTTGAACTTCACGGCTTCTCCAACTCCTAACTATACTTAGTTGCAATTTGTTGTTTCCTTTCAAGCACCGTGTGCAAAATACCTTCAGTTATATGATCATGCGGCCGAAGAAAATACTCTATATCTTGGTTCTCTATCTCCCGATCCAACAATTGAGCTTTTCGTTGTTCATTAGCTTCTAGAATGTGCAATTTTTGTTCCCGGTATCGTTGTGTCTGTTCCGCCTCTGTTTCAATTGCAGTCTTGATGCCGATAATTTTTTTGACAAGATCAAACATTTCATTTTCTGCTGATGATGTCGATGTTGATTTCTTTCATTTTCTTTTTCTCTGAGGCGGTAAGTCTTCAACACTAAACGACTGTTGTTGGGGGGAGAATCCAGGAGGATATTGTGGATCAGATGATGATGTGTAAGCATTGGATGAAGATGTTTTGGTTCGTTTTGAAGAAGGAGGCGGGGAGTCTTCACTCGCTTTTGCAACAAATTCCCATTTCGCGTTGTCTTTCAACTACTCCCAAGCTTCTTAACGAGGAAAACCTTTCTGGTTAATAGTCCTCCGATACTCGCTTAGTGAAGATTGTAAAGCATCAGCTTCGGATCTCCCACTAGCCATACTATTCATCTTACAGTTATAGATGCCTTTGAAAGCATTACATTTCTTTTGGAGGTCTTTCCATTTTGAGTTTAATTGGTGTCGTGACCAATCCGAACCTCCCATTTGAACACTAAAATGATCTAGAACCCTCTCCCAAAATGCATCGAACCTTTGTTGATTTCCACATTGTTTATCTTTAGAAACATCGACATATGCCATAGCCAAACCCAACTCTTCACGTTCCACCCAGTTCTTTCGCTTCTGGTGGTGTGTATAGTTGCATTTTTTCTCAGTAACGGGTTGCAAATCCTCGCTGGTTTCTTCTTCATTTCTTTCGAGAGCCGGGTCATCACTAGAACTGTCAGATTCTTCATTCTGAGCATCATGGAACTGGAAATTCTAGGGTTGAGAAGATTGGAATTGGGTTTCTGGAACCCTTTGAGAAAACTAATTCCATAGATTGTAATCTGATTTTCTTCTGTAAGCCTGAATGTGGTGTAAGATTGTTGCCCTGGGAAATATTATTGTTGGAAGCTTTGGTTTTGTATATAGTTTTGGTAGTTATGGTATTGCTGATAATTTGGATTTTGAAAATCTTAAGAAAAAAATGGAATATCTTGACTTGAACCACCTTGTGTGGCTTTGCGTCTTTAGCTAGAATCAATTTATTTAGTTTTGCCTCCAGAATCCATTAAATGTAACCGAAGGAATTAAATGAATATAAATTTTTTCAAAAGAAAAACACACTACAAATGAATGAAACATTTATTCATCTTTATAAACTTAAATAAAACAAAAAACAAAAAAAGAAAAAAGAAAAAAAGAAAATAAAGAAAAGAAATCGTATGAATATGGTCAAAATACATTAAAATGTGGTCAATGCATTCAAATAAAGTTGGAAAAGAAATCTCCATGCATTGAAAAGGTCTATACATTCAATAAATAAAGTGACACACTATATGCAATAAAGGACAAATAAATTCAATGCTTATTTTGTTGCTAATTTTTTTTAAAAAAAATCTAAAGTAATATTAAAAATAACATTAATTCAATTCTCTGGAATAAATTTAGTTACATGCATTTAATTAACTTGCCATGATTTAAATTGGAAACATGATTTGTACCAAAAAAAAAGTAAAAAAAAAAACATCCTATTCATTATTTATTCAATGAAAAATGTAAAAGTTAAAAGTTGTCGACCTTTATTTCTTTATATAGCTTTTATTTCTATGTATATAGCCTTTATTTATGTGCAGGTGTGCAACATTCACATTGAATTGAATATATATACTTGAAGTGAATATAGATAAATGGGTTCGTGAAACCGATTGATGCCATTAACTCGTTGAACCCAGGTATCAATGTATAGTTCAATGCCGGTACCGTTTGTCCAACTCGCTAGGATACCCTCCTCCCTAATCAAACATCATGTCTTTAAAATCAAATTTTGTACCTTAATAATTGTTTGGTTTCAAAGGATGTTTCTCGTGATCTAATGTACTGATGTGAAAAAGACGTGTACAATTAGGTCACAAAATATAAACGAAGTTTCTTTTAAGGGATAAATAAGCATGAGTAAGCTTTTTCTATATTTTCAAAATCATGGTGGTAGATTTTGTGGTAGATTTTGATATGAGTATCAATGTATAGTTCAATGCCGGTACCGTTTGTCCAACTCGCTAGGATACCCTCCTCCCTAATCAAACATCATGTCTTTAAAATCAAATTTTGTACCTTAATAGTTGTTTGGTTTCAAAGGGTGTTTCTCGTGATCTAATGTATTGATGTGAAAAAGACGTGTACAATTAGGTCACAAAATATAAACGAAGTTTCTTTTAAGGGATAAATAAGCATGAGTAAGCTTTTTCTATATTTTCAAAATCATGGTGGTAGATTTTGATCGCCACCAACGGGAGAGAGAAAGAAAGATCTATATAAAGGTTCCAGTCTTGATTAACATTATATCTTCGGATGTTCTTCAGCTTCAAGAACTATTGATCATTGATGAAAATTATAAACATAAACATACACATATTGAAAATTATAAACACTCATACACACATACCAATAATTGGTAGGAGTTTTTTTTAATGTGTGAAATGAATATTTTAGTGAACGAACATAAGGCTATGGGGAGTGGGCCGCTTAGCCCACTCGCCAAAGGCTTAACATGAGCAAAACACCACCCCATACACCATGCTAAGGAGATGCGCTAAGAGGAGCTTGCTGGTTCACCAACAAGAAGAGAAAGGCGAAGAGATTCTTTGGTGTAGGCTGTTATTGGTCCTTTTGTATTTGTTTTTTTCTTATTTTTTTTTCTAAAATCAAAAGGTTGTGATTGGTTATCTTTTATTTGCATTTTTGTTTTAATTTTTTTTTCCTAAAATCGGAATGTATATATTTTCTATGACAAAAGATTAGGTGGAAGAAAAAAATTTGATATGGCATGTCTTAGCATGTTTTTAGCATGCACCACCACTCCCTATAGTCTAAAAACTTGATAACTTGATAAACTTGATAACTTGATGAAGATGAAGATCAAATGGGCTTTTATTGAGAGAGAGAGAGAGAGAGAGAGAGAGAGAGAGAGAGAGAGAGAGAGAGAGAGAGAGAGAGAGAGAGAGAGAGAGAGAGAGAGAGAGAGAGAGAGAGAGAGAGAGATTTATGTATATATGAGTGGTTGAGTGTGAAACTAAAATAAGAAAAAAGGAAGGGTAGGGTGGGAGTGAGTGGGGTGTGCTCATTCTCTATTTTTTAAATATTCAAATAACAAGAAAATATTAGATAAATACGAAAAAGAAATTACAAGGATAATATCATTTCAAAATGTTTTAGGAACAAAACCATAAAAATCTAGATTTTAGACTGCTAATGTAGGTTGAAAAGATTTTGAACTTCATTAATAAATTTTTGCAACCAATTTTACAGTGTAATACTTTATTAAAAAAAAACGAAAATCAACTTAATTATAAACGCATTTTCCCTTGTGAAAATTTTCATATTTTTGCTGATAAGGATATTTTATTATAATTTTTTAACAATTAAAAATTACTTAATTGACATTAATAGTCATCCGGTATATATCACTTCCACAATTATGGTGGGATGCCATCTCACAACCACTTTATCACCACACTTAAACTACACAACTATAAAATACTCACCACTCCAATCCCTCTTTTTTTATATATTTAAATAAGAAAATATATATTTTAATTATTTAAAAGGTAGATAGCGATAGAAAGAGATAGAGAGAGAGAGAAAAGGATCGGATGTTGTCAATTGTGGTGATGATCACATTCCATAATGCCACAAGCCACCATAATACACATAGGGTGGTGTTCACTATAGTTGTATGCTAGCACAGTGACAACAAACCCCCTTTGTAAAGGGTATTTCAGATAATCTTATAGCATAACAATATTAAAAGTTGACAGAAAGACGATGTCGGTCAAAGATATAAGGCTCGTTTTAGACAAAATTTGTAGATTTAATGGTAAGATAGTGAGTGTCTGTTAGCCGTTTTACAAAATAACAAAAATAAAAAATTACATAATTGACAAAAAAATAAACTGAAAATACCCACACCATTAAATAGAGTTGCATTAACCTATATGGATAATACTAACGACTAAACTAAACTCAAAAGAATTTTTTTTAGAACAAAAACCTAGACTACTCCTAATTCTATTTATATTCCTTACAAGACTTAAACCCACGATTTCAAGGACAGAAGGAAATTTGATATTGCTGAGCTAGAATCCGTTAGAATCTAAACCCAACCAATCGAATCACCATTGGTGTTTAATTGGTAGCAAAACTCTCATTTATGCCTCTAACTTTTCCTTCAAGAAAAAGTAGCTAGCTACCTTAGCAAGGAGTCCCCATGTCTAATAATTCAAGGCTTTCGGAACACATTTCCATTTCAACCATGCGAAAAAAAGTGGCATTGAAGTTCACTAGTCTTGATTTCAAGTACCCTAACTTACAATTATAAACATGGTACCTTTCATAGTAATTGTGAAACAACAAATAACCATTACCGCTTGGTTGGAAAATAGTCACTATATCCTTCAACTTGATTTCTTTTCGATTCTAAAAACACAGACCAATTATCATCTTTCCTCACCCAAATGCATCCATAACCATATTCCATAGAACTCACACCAAGAGAACCTTGGATGATTATTAGTTTTCTAGCTTTCCAAGTAGGTTTTGGCAATGCAATCATGCCAAAAACATGACTGCTTAAATCGAAGGTCAGTATATAAAACAGGTCCACAGGATACGCATAAGGGAAAATGACTTAAAAGCCCAACGAAGTTTCCAAACCGTTTAAAAAACCCCAATAATGTTTTGTCTGTTCAAAAAAACCCAACAAACATAACATTTTATCTAAAACGCCCAACTAAATTACACTTTCTCGAAAATCAAATAAGAGAAACAGATGACGTGGCTTATTACCGTATCGGAAAAATGACTTGTTAGACCAACAAAGTTTCCAAAACGTTTAAAAAACTCCAATCATGTTTTGACTGTTAAAAAAAAACCCAACGAACTTAAACAAAACAAAATTGGAATTTTCTGAACGGTTTAAAACTTTGTTGGATTTTTTAGACAAAAGGTTAAGTTCGTTGGGTTTTTTTGAACAAATAAAACATGATTGAAGTTTTTTGAATGGTTTGAAAACTTCATTGGGCTTTTAAGTCATTTTCCCTACGCATAATAACGTTTAATGTACCAACCAATGCAATGTTCCATTCACAAAACATGCCTTTGATGTCATCATATCACCGATAAAAGGTGTAGGGGAAGCAATCTCACACCAAGAACTTGTCTTTATGGAGTAAACAAATGAGGTTCCAGCATTTCCTCCATATTCGGGGTTGGATATACTCACAATCTTGTAATCATCGGTTATTGAGTCAAAACCAAACCCGATCTCTACTACAGAAGAGCATCTCCTTGGACAATCAGGTAGGGTTAGTTTGCGCCTGATTGAAGGGTTCCATAGACTAGTATTAGTCATGTGTTTATCATTATCATACACACACAGAATTCCATTACATGAACCAACTATACGAGAGTATTTACTGTAAGGAAACTTGACTGGTGTTATACCCGAGTATCCACGGCAATTGGTGTTCTGAATGTAATGTATAAAACCCTTCAAAGTTATTATGTTTTTGGTGTCTGATGAGGAGTTTTTGTGGGGTTCGAAAAGTATGCATGCGGATGAAATCAAGGCTAGCAATATAAATATTTCATATTGATTATTAGTGCAATATTAATTATTATTCACTAGACTAGCAATAAACCTCAAACGCAAGTGTGTTACCTCTCCATTATTGTAAAATTTAGTTTCTATATATTTATATTTCAGAAGTTGTTTATTATTTATTTTTGCTGATATATATTCACACAAATGGAAAAGCAATATGTATTAGTGTGACTAACCAATCAAAGCTCAAGATAAATTTGCCTCACTTGCGCAACTTAACATACGTCTAAATTTATCAGATATCAACTTCAGTAACATAGGGTAACCTGTACGTGCTCTTATAGGAATTAATTTCAGTTGGTGCATGCATATTTGACTCCATTTTACGCAATATGATCTAGCTAGTATTACTGTTCATGTTGCAAATTATTTAATAAATAAAGTTGCATAAACTGATCGAAGGCGATGAATTCGAAGATTAACAAATATAATCCACTCACATAGAAAGATTAGCAGATATACGATGAAGAAGGATAAGGTTGAACGATCAAGGGAAGTGGTCGTCTCGTGGCATGGCAGAAGATAAGATAGCCGCAGGGGCTTCGAGCATTTTACGCCTAATATAGGTTTAGTTGTCGGTGTGGGCCCAGCCATATCTTTATTATTTATATTTATATCTACACTCATTTCTCTTGATTTTATTTATAAATAATTAAGATAGTTGAGATTGACTTGGTCATGGAATACTGATATAAAAACCTAGCATCGTAATTCGTATGTGACTGAACTAAAGATTTCTAATTATGGTATCAATATCTAATTTACCCTTTTAGGTATCACAAAAGCATATCAAAAAGCCTGTTGTTATTATAATACAAATAAATTATTATGTTGTATATAAATTAATAAAGAGTTTAACTAAATCAAATTACTAACTATAAGTAATTAATAAGTACTAATAACAAGAACGGATTAACATTAAAATAGTTAACCAAACCAAATTTATCTATATTGTTTTGACAACACTTATGTTCTTTGCTTGCTACTTTATGGTTTATTTCAATTAGTTTGAGATAAAAGAGTTGTTTTCGTATTTATTTACAGCTTAACAATATATTCACATGCTTTTCACTTTTCTTAACATTCCTTATTTTGGCTTGGTTGATCTCGATTTCATTAAGTTTAAAGGGTACAACGATCATACTGCTACATGCATGTACAAGTGTGTATATATATATATATATATATATATATATATATATATATATATATATATATATATATATATATATATATATATATATATATATATATATACACACACACACACACACTATGTGTGAGCCCCGTGTATTACACGAGTTTATTAAAAAAAGTTGAATATAAAATAATAACGATCAAGTTTTTCAATATATCTACCTTAATAAATGAAAACTAATTTCTTTGTTTATAATTGGATTTCATAACATTTTTTGTTTTGAAAAAGTTATTGTATAAGTGAAAATTATGATGTGTAAACATTTAATTATGGAAGAATTTGATTATTGCTTAATTTGTAGTTGTACGTTTTTTTTTTGTATGGTTATTGAAATTTAATTTAATGATTCTACATAACATAAATAAACTCGTATAAAATATGGAATTTACTTTTAAATTTAAGAAAATTGAAAGCACAAGAAAATGCCAAGTAGAAAAAGAAAAAATAAAAAATCCTACAAAATGACATGTGTCAAACTAAATGAGAATATGATATTTGGTAAAAACATTTTCATTTATTAGGGTATATATATATATATATATATATATATATATATATATATATATATATATATATATATATATATATATATATATATATTCACATGCAATTGATGACGATATGAAGCAATGAGGCAATAAGATGTAACTCTAACAAAAGCCATGTCTGAAAAATAGCATTTCGAATGCAAGTTCAACTTTAGACACATTTTAGTATTTTTAAAGAAAATGATAAAAACATCATCACTCAATAGTTTAACATGACAAATCTGGCCCATTTATAACCTAGATTTGCAAAAGTTTGCACCAGAGAGAGTTTGATCGACAAAAGCTAATGGTCGGTAGTTACTGGACAGATTTTTCAGCAGGAGTCATGTGCATCGTGCATAAGCATAAAAAGATAGGTGTATTATATAAAATAAAAGGGTCTAAATTGTAAAAAATAATAATGTACTTTCTAAAACTTTAAAACTTTATACTGTTATTTCTATAATAGGTAGATTTTTTTAGATGCTACAATAAATTTTGGAAACTACATTGATTGATGTGAGGTTTCCAATGCAATGTTCCACTTATCATAAGCACACCAATATATATATATATATATATATATATATATATATATATATATATATATATATATATATATATATATATATATATATATATATATATATATATATATATATATATATATAAAATAGTCGTGAACCCGCGCAAAGCGGCGAGCGGCAAATAGATTTTAAGCGGCAGACATCATGTGCGCGCAGTGTGGCAGTGTTGGTTGGGTAATAGTTTCCTTTTGGCAAGTAAAGAATAGTTTTCTTTTGGTCGATAGCCACATATTGTACACAAGAGACGATGCCAAACATTTTTATACAAGAAACATGTTATAATCCAAATCGATAATTGAAATTATCCCAAGTGATAAAGTTTTGTGGATGTAAGCTTTCAATTGGACTTAGATTGCAGAGATTGTGTGACATGTGCAGGTGTTTTTGACGTGGTTGTAGATAAAAAATCAAATGAATAATTACTATTCATATTTCACGTATATAATTTATTTTTAAATGACAAAAAGACTATCTATTGAAATTAAGTTGATCACAAAGGTTTGAGTTTTTGTTTCAATGAAGCCTTATATTTTTAAAGAAATTTATTTAGTAAATAGATATTCAACTTCAAATACATAATATTTTTCATTCTTATTTGGTCTTAATAAAATTAATTATAAGTTTTTGTTTCATGTAAAGTTTTAAAGTCTACCAAAAGATTTTGAAAAACATTTGTATATTGGTATAATTCATGAATCGTTAATCAATTTTAATCTGATAAATGAATTTTGGTTTTTATTGGGTTCTCTTTATAAAACAAAATATTTTTTATATAAAATTGTTTGTTTGCTTATACAATACCGACTCAGAAAAAAATGTTTGTATTAGTTTTTATAGGACCCAAACAAATATGACTTATACATTTAAATATGAATAAAATACATATTTCTATAAATTATTGACTTATTTGTTACATAAGATATGTTTATCAATTATTATAATAATATTTTTAACAAAAGATTATATAAAAAACATAAAAAATTATCATTTTATACATAAACAATACAACTGTATTTTTCATGATTGTGATACCACCAAGAAAACATACACACTTGTTCATATAATGATAGTTCATATATGATAGTGTAATAATCTGATAAAAAAAGGAAATTTCACACATAAATAGTTACCCATGATTAAATTATCCAAAAAGTATTCCTAGAAAAACACCAACACTAAAATAGCAATTCAAACAATTCTAACATGATTTCATCATACAAAACACAAGAGTAGGATTAGGAAACACCATTGTTGTCAATAACGAACACCATGGTCGCTATAGCGATTAGCGAGGTGAGACGGCTTATTGTCGCACTATGTGGTTCATGGCGACTGAAAAATAACGTAGTGATTAGGAGATTTTTTTTTTTAATCTGGTATAAAAATCCATGTTTTAGGGTTTTTAGTTGACTAAGTCAAGGAAACATCAGACATCTCATCGCTTCATCATACTCTCTAGTATCGTCTCCCGAACCAGCTTCCATTGTGATTTCATCATACTCTCTGACACTTATACCCCTATGATCGGCCCTGTGTGTGGTGTTGGAGGTCACCAGTTAGGGAAGAGAGAAGGAGAAGAGAGGTGGTACTGGTGGTTATGTTAAACGATGAAGGAGATGAAGGGGCATCAATATTCAGTTTTGGAGAGCAAAGATGAGAGAGTGTGATCATCATTTAAGGAGACTAACGAGATATTAAGAGATTTTGTAATTTGAAAGACCCCAAATTTTTGTATTTTTGAAAGACCCAAACTTTCATACTTCACAATATTATTACTCCTGCAATTGTTAAACATTGATAGGGTAAGCGGTGACACTTAGCGAGTTCAATAATAGATACAATATAACGTTATGCCATATATATACTTCAATGTGGCAAAAGCAAAGAGGAACAACAAGACATATGTGAAATCATGTGACAAGCGTTCATATCAATCAAAGACTTTATTCAAAGATATACTTTTCAATGCTTGATATACATCAATAAAACTTTGGCCCAAATGGCACAGAAGACATGCAATTTCTGATTAACATCTTGTTAGATTTCAGGCTTATAGTCCTGTCTAACCATTTGCCAATGCCATAGAATAGAAGTCATTCTCTTACAGATACATGATCTACATGGCCAGAGGCTACGTACCAGTACCAATGTGATTCTAAGTCCTTTCACTGATCACATGGTCAAAGGTATTACATTTGCTATAAACATAGCGAATAAAATAACAGGGGAAAATAACCCGAAATAATAACACTGAAAAGCACATAACACATATAACACATAACATACAATTGTTCCTATATATTGAACTCACCTTAAGTTAACCGGGGGTTAAAATATTAATTGGGACAACACTTCGGCTTTAAATATGACTTTCTATGTTGAAAACCAGGAGCTTAATTGAAAACCGGGCTCTACGAAGGTAGGGCTTCAAAACCG